GCAGCCGAACCACCGCTGTGCTGCAGAGACAAACCATGCCACAGGAGTCGAGTCCCAGCTCCCAGACTTATTTGCTGTGTGACTGTGGGCAAGTTGCCTCCCTCTTTGAGCCTCGCATCCTCTAACTATTAAAAGGAGATTAAAATCCTCATGCATGGTTAAGGTGGTAACAGATGGAGGATGTCATTGTATAAATGACTCCTGCTGTTATGTTTTTAAAAGCCTGTTTTATTGTAAAATAAAACAAATACAGAAAGTCACACAAAACAGAGAGGGAACCCAATAAAGCAAACCACTTGTAACCACCAGTCAGACCAAGAAATAGGAACCCCTCAAATGTCCCAGCCTGATCACAGTCTGACTTTGACAGTATTTCTTTGTGTTTCTTTATAGTTTTATTGCCCAAGTACACATCCCTAAAGACTATAGGTTAGCCTTGTCCATATTAAAAAATGTGTATATTTTAAATCTCTACTGATTCCTCCCTTGTCCCTTGCATTTTCTTAATTTATCTTTTGGAAGAATCTGGAGCATTTGACCTGAAAAGTTTTGAAGAGTCTGGATCATCGCTATTATTTTTCACATGCATTGCCCTCCTTCTAGCTTCCTCCCTCTCCTCCTTGGATTTGGAGTGATGTGGATCTGGGTTCCAGTCCCGAGTCTGCCAGTTGCCGTGTGACTTTAGACAAGTCACTTAACCTCTCTGAACCTCTTTCCTCAACTGGCAAATGAGGGACCTAGAAGCTCTCAGCCTCCTTCCTCGAACACCAGACTTCTGTCCTGCAGTCTACTCAAAAGCAACTTTACAGGGTGAGGGATCAGAGACCTGGCTCTGGAATCCAGTTTCCACTGGCACTAGCTGTGTGAACTTGGGCAAATTATTTGACCTCTCTGAGTTTTCACTTCCTAGTCTATAGAATGGGGATTCTGATACCTCACGCAAGAAACTGGAGCCCGGCTTAGATAAGATCAGGCCCCTAAAGCATTTAGTGCCCGGCACCTAGTATGTGCTAATCATGGTTGACCGCTGTTGCTATTGTTGTTAGCTGCTCTTAGGGCTACCGTATATTGACCGCTTACTCTGTGTCAAGTGTCTTCAGATGTGCTAACTGATTTTATCCTCACAACAGTGCTGTGAGGCAGCCCCATTTTACAGATGAGGAAATTGGGGCACAGAAAGGTTAAGTAACTTGCCCACCGTCGCACAGATGGTAAGCCACGAACCTGGGTGTCTAGATCCAGAGCTGTGCTGGTAGCCACTGAGCCCTACTGCCTCAAATACGACTACTCTCTGGAAGAATTTCCCTTTGCTTGCCCAAGCCCGGAGAGAATTCCGACAGGGAGGAGGATGACGTAGTGGCTGAATCCAGCTGGTAAAATCCAGAGGTGAGAAGGTGTTCTTACCCTAAAATGAGATCCCGGCCCAGGACGTTAATCTGGGCCATCCCTGGTTATTTCCTGCCCCACCCCTACTGTTTTGATCTACTGAAAACCTGCCGAAAGGGGCACGGGAACAGGTTCAGACCAGGAGGACAGCAGAGACGTTCCCACCTGGTGGAGTGGCCTGGGGGTGTTGCTGTGTGTTTGCCCGGTGCAATTTTCTGGGTTTCTGTGGATGTGTGAATGTGTGTGGTAGGAGATGATGCTTTTGTATGTGGAGCTGTCTGTGTCTCTGTGCGGAGGCAGCGTGGCCAGCCTGCCCGGGCACCTGACCCATCTGTGCCACCCACTGGATGTGTGACCCCAGGCAAGTGACTCACCTCTTTGTGACTTAGCTGCCATGTGCCTATAAAAATGGATATGATGACAATATTAGTACCTACCTGATAGAGTTTTTCTGAAGATTCAATGAGCTCATCCAAGTAAGTGCTTAAAATAGTGCCGAGCACTGAGATAGGAGCAAGTATGGATGGCTTATATGTTTTCACAGGATTAAATGTGTAAAGGGTGAGTTCCTGTATATTTATGCAAGGGCACCCGAGGGGGCACAGTAGAAAGGATCTAAGGGGATGGGGAATTGAGCCGTCTCCGTGGTTTGTAGGAGGAGGATGCGCTTGCGGGAGTGTGTATATGCAGGTGCGTGTGGTGCGTGCCCAGGGGAGGCATGTGCATTCTGTAAACGTGTGAGGATGTTCACCGCAGAGTCCCCATTACCACACAAATAAGCTCCCGGCCCTAGGACAAGTCCCTGAGGCTCTGTGTGCCTCAGTCTCCCCAGCTGTGCCATGGGTGGGGTTACTGCCTCAAAGGCTGCTGTGAAAACCAGTGAACCGTGGATGTGAAGCTCCACTCGTGTGCAAGCCATAGAAGAAGGTCCGTTGAGCGTGCTGACAGAGGGGGGCATAATCGTTGGCACTCCTGGGTCTGTAAAGGCCAAGGCTGTTCGCATGTGCCTACCCTGGGCTGCAGAGTTCCCCCTGGGTGCCGTGGGTCCCAGCCTGCCATAGGCGGGTAAGCCCTCAGTCCAGCTTTTTTCATGGGACATCTGAGGCCCAGAGAAGGATAGGACCTTACCTCAGGACACACAGCACTCTGGAGGCAGAGATGGGGCTAGATTGGAGCCCAGCCCCCTTGTCTTTCTAGCACGGTGGTGAAAGCCTGTCCCAGACAGGGCCAGCACCCCCAGCCCTCACTGCCTCGGCCTGCCCCACCTCCCCCAGCGTCCAGCAGGCAGCCACTCCGGCAGGAAGATGTGTGCTTTGGCAGCAGGCATGGTCTGGGCCGGGAGGCTGAGGCTGGGTGGCTGCCAAGGGCGGGAATGCCATGTGTCTGGGGAGAACCCCAGCCCCCAGCGCTCCATTGCCACCTGGCTCAGCTGGGGACCCCAACACTGAGTTCTGGGGATTCTCAGAGGTCACTGGAAGAGGAGGCTGAAGGCTTACAAATGCTTCGACTTTGGGTGTTTTTATAGAACCTCTTTCCTGTAAGTCTACTCTCTCCATTACAAAAGTATTGCTTGTTATTTGTGAAGAATACAAGTAATCAGAGAGGAGAAATTAAACTCCTGTCTTAACCTAGAAATACAGCAACTCAGAGACCAAAGGGTCTTTGACAACACACACGTGCACATGCCTGTATAGACATCTGCACGCTGGTGCATGTGTCTGTGCAAGCACACACACACACATGCATACGTGCGCGCACACACATACACACACGCACACGCACAGAGCACACGCTGTGTACCGGCATAGTTCTGAGCGCTCCACAATGTTAATTTGTTTTATCTTCACAACAGTGCTAGAAGGTAGGTACCATTATTACTCCCATTTTACAGACGAGGCACAGAATGACTGAGTAACTTGCTCAAGGACACCCAGTTAGTGAGTGAAATAATGGGGATTTGAACCCAGATCCATCGCTTAATTCATTAGGCTGCATGGTGCTCCGTTCGAGTGGCATGCTAGTGAACATCCTCCTGGGCTCTTTCTCTGGGCTTCGATGTTGGTTTGGTTTAAAAAAAAATAGCATCCTTAGAAACAAACAAAGAAACCCAGAAAATGGCATCCTCTTTACATACTAACAGGGCTCTGGGATCAGACTTGGATTTGAATCCTGTCTCTATTGCAGACGGCTGGCTTGGCTTTGGGCTCGTCCCTTCATCTCTTGGTCTCAGTTTCTTCACCTGTTAAATGGGGAGCTATAGTATCTGCTTCTGAGGGTTGGCTGAACTTGTGTGTGTAAAGCACTCAGCCCAGGCCTGGCATATAGTAGGTGCTCATTAGATGGGACCAAGTTAATTGCCTACTCTGAGGCTGGACAGCTTCGTAGGGAAAACAGTCAAAGAATACTCTCCCAAAGCAAGGTGGCCTTAACGTTGGGGTCTGGAAGGCAGAGAAAAGCCTCTGTCTCTGGGGTTTCCAAGGTAGGAGTGCTATTTCCTCCTGGAGTCCCTGCCATTGTCACATCCCTACCCCAACCAGCAGCTCAGCCCAGCCCTGCACACCCCAGGTGGAAGCAGGAAGAGCAGAGGCGCCAGAGGGCGGGAGAGGAAAGCCCACAAACGGGCAGGCGGAGCCTCGGTCCAAGCCTGGCCTGGCTGGAAGGGGAGGGGGCTGTGGGGCCCGGACGTCAGATGCCATCAGCTCCCAGGGGACCGTTAAAGTCGCCGCGCTGCCAGGCGGGCCAGGGTGTCTGCAGAGGTCCCTGCCTCCTCGACGCCCGCTGCAACCCGCCTGGGCTGCCCGGCCTGGGTACGCGCCCCTGGGAAGCCTGCTGCGTGGTCGCCCGCACGCACGCCTCTCTCTGGCTGTCTTCTCTTTAACTGTTTTCTCCCTCGTCTTCTCTGTTCTTCTTTCCCCTGTCAGAATTTCTCCCTCTGCTTCTGTCTCTCCCATGCTCTTTCTCTTTTTCCCCCGTCACTGTCTCCCATTCTCTCCTTATCTTTCCACCTTCCAATTTCCTTCACCCCTGTTCTCTTTTTTTCAGACGGCTCTTGGGTCTCTTCTCGTTTTTCTTCCTCTCTGCTTCTCTTTTTCTCTGCCTCATCCTCCTCCATCTCCTCTGCCACCCGATTCTTCCTGTGTCTCACTCTCAACCCCCAAAACACAGCAATTCAGGGATGACAGGGCCTGGCAGTATGCCCCGGGGAAGGTTGGCCCTGCCCTCTGAGGGCATCGATGGAGCCCACTGGGAGCAGGATTGGTGAAGAGGGTGTCCGGGCTGGAGAGGACAGGTGTCTGTCTCCTGGGCTCGTGGGATGGGACCCTGGCTGTGATGCCAGCTCCATCTGTGTCACACGGCCTGATCAGGATTAGCTGCTGTCCAGGCATGTCCCTCCATCACCCGATCCACTGAGTCCACTGGGGTGGGAAGGACAGGGTGTGGGGGCATCAGGACTAGAGCTGAGTCAGGAGATCTTTGCCAAGTTCCCAGGGGTTAGTTAGCACCCTCGGGGTGGCAGTGCTGGAGAACGCTCAGGGTTTGGTGCCCTCGTGCCCACCCCCTCCAGGCAGCCGGCGCTGACTGCACGAGGTGACGCGTGACCCTTCCAGCCAGCTATGCCCCTGCTGCCCAGCACCGTGGGCCTGGCAGGCCTGCTCTTCTGGGCAGGCCAGGCAGTGAACGCCTTGATGCCCAATGCCACCCTGGCACTGGCCCGGACCGAGGGCACAGCCGTGTGGCCCCTGAGTGGCCTGGGGGTGCCCCGGTACCGGCGGAAGCGCCACATCTCTGCCCGGGACATGAGTGCCTTATTGGATTATCACAACCACATCCGGGCCAGTGTGCACCCACCTGCGGCCAACATGGAGTATATGGTGAGTTCCCGTGCCTTCCCCTGTGCCCTTTCCAGCAAATGTCAGTCAACTCATTGTGTTCTGGAAGGGCTGGACCACTTGCCAGCCTGGCCCCACTAGCCAGTATCTCGGTGTCTGGGTCCTGTGCAAAGGGCAGGAATTACTCTCCCCATTTGATAGATGAGGACACTAAGGCCATGCGCACAGGTTGTCTTGGGAAGTGGGGTCAGCAGACTGCTGTTTATGGGGCATCCACTGTGTGCCTGCACCTCACCTACACATAACCCTGAGGGTTCTCCTCTGCCTTCGACGTGGAGATTGCAGTCTCCTTTATCCAAATAAAGAAACCAAGAGGCAGAGATTTGCCAAAGGTCATCTGGTTGGGATTCTAACCCAGGTCAGCCTACTGCGAAAGGTTGTGGTCTTAACCAACACAATACCTTGCCCAAGGATTTTGGCTCCCTGCTGGGGTCTGCAGGGGGTGGGTGGCTGGAGAGGTCCATGCTATTGTCTCTTTGCGGTAGGGGTCTGATGGACACTCACAGACTGTACTCAGCAGGCCTGTGGGGGGAGAGTTTGGAGCAGCGGGGACTGGTACCTGGGGTCTCAAGCTGAAGAAAACTGGCAGCTGAGCGGCTGAAGAAGCTGAGAGATATTCCCTTAAGGAGGCAGGACCAGTGGCTGTCACCCCAGCCCCACAGAAGCCAGACTCTCAGAGTGGAGGAGGGGACTTTCTCTTTATCACAGTCCCTCCCCCAGGACCTTTGTCTCAAACCAGCCTGGAGAGATAGGCTTCTAGCCCACCCACAGATTTCTTTACAGAAAGAGATGGCCAGTCTCCCCGCTCCAAGACAAACATGTGCTTCTCAACAGCCTGCAAATCCCTGTGCTTTTGCAATGTGTCCATTCACTTAGGTAGTAACCGCTGCTCAGAGGTAGGCAGTACGCTAAGCCTCATGGAGATGCTGAGAACAGGATGGAAAAGGTGTCTTCCCTCATGGGGATGATAGAAAACAAACATCCACAACATAACAAATGGGTAATACAATGTCAAGTAGGCATAAGGTGTTGGGGAAGGGCGGGGATAGGAACCAGAACGGCAAGCAGCTAGAGGTGGGGGAGTCATTTATTTGTTCATTGACTGACTCATGCATTTATTAGCACAGGGGCTGGCACACGGAAGGTCCTCCATTTTTCAAACAATGACACATTTATTGTGCACCAGAGTGTGTGTAAGGCACTCATCCCAACGAGTGTTTAATTGTTGCATGCGTGGTGGAACAGAGAGAGTGAAACAGCTCACCATGGACCCCAGCAGGGTCAATGAATGTGGGTTTGATGTTAGCATGCTCTTTCCCTCACTTTACTCCTTTGGTGCACGAAGGAAACATTCCTCTGCATTCCCTAAGAGTGCCAGTTGGATAACCCTGGAAACATGTTTGGACCCCTCTCTTGCTATCCCTGTGGCTTCTTCACTAGCTGCCTTCTGCCCGCAGGACAGGCATCTGACTAAGCATCCTTTGCCCAAGGAATCCTTTCTCTCCCACAGCCTCCCCAAAAGTTCCCGTCGCCTGTTTCACATGCTCACACCCACCAGGATCGTAATGATTGTTTAATGTCTCATTTCCTTGCTAGACTGTCAGTTCTGGGTGCCTAGAAATATTGTTCAGTATTTGCTGAGTGAACAAATATGATGAATGAATGAATAGTATCTCAGAGAATCCTAGGAAGTCAGAGTGGAAGGAAACTGGTATTTTTCTAAAAAAGTGGTCCTTTTTCAAGTTATAAAACTTGCGGCAGTCACACATTGGAAAATTATGAAGCTGTTGGGAGGGAGGAGGGGGTTATTCTTTATGTGTTGATGTGGAATAGCCACTAAGATAACCTGTTTGGTTGAGCAAAAGCAGCCAGGAACCTGATAGAAGGTCTGGTTAGCTGCCATTTGTCAACAAAATGTATAACTTTTATATTAAATACAATTATATATTTATATACACATATAATCATATATACTTATATAATTATATGTATTATATATAATCATATATTTTACATATACTTATATAATTATATGTATGCATGTATATTCATGTATATATACTTGTACAGGTATAGAGTGTTTCTGGAGGAGGATGCCTCTATGGGGCAGGAAAGGTGGGGGAGGAAGTCGAGGATTAAGATGAGAAACTTTCTCGAAGCTCTGAGTGGCTCAGGTCGTTGCCGCCGACTTCAGCCTCAGTCAGATCTCGGCTGTCCGGGGAGTTCGAAACTTTGTCGGTGTCCTCCAGTGACAGCTCAGAGAGCCTGAGCCTGTTTCTAGATTCTGTGTCTCCCTCTCTCTCTGACTCCTCCCTCCATGCCTCTCTCTCTGTCTCAAAAATAAATAAACGTTAAAAAAAAATTTTAAAAAAAAAAGATGAAAGAAACTTTTACTTTTCCTCCTTTAGGCATCTCACAATAAAATTTGCATGTTTTCACTTATCTAAAAAAAAAAACCTTTTGAACTGAAAATGTTTAATGTTAAAATAAACACATTTTAAAAATACAATAAATAAAATAATAAACCTGTTCCTCCCTATCTCCTGGGCTCAGTCACTTCCCAGGGACTGCTAGAGCTCTCGCGACAAACACTGCTACAGAGCCCAGCCATGCGTAGAGCCCCCAGCCTGAAGTCCAGTGGCGGAGGGGGGTGGGTAGCCTGACGAGGAATGAGGTCGGTTCTGGCTCTGGTGGACTTGCTTCTGACTCTGGACGCCATAGGCCTTCTTCTGACTTCTTAGTTTTCTGATTTGTCCAGTGGATTTGGCAGGTTCCAAGCAGATGGAGGAGAAACAGACCAGGACAATGCCTCATCTCAGGACAATGCTGGGATAGCTGTTCTCTCCTCCTCCCAGCTCCACGCACAAGTCCCGCCTCAGGGAAGTTCATGGCCTTTCTTTCCCAGGTTGGGACACGAGCTGCTTGGCCAGGTCTGCTGAGGCCTGGGCCACTTCAGTGCATTCTCGGGGCCCACGGGCCCTCACAGATGATGAGACACGTGGGCCAGAACCTGTCTAGACATCCATTCTGGCCGGTGAGTGACCTTTTTCCCTTCGTCCTCCTCGGGTCACCCTGAGAGGTCACTGAGACGGGTGGTGGCGATGCAGGGTAGCTCTCCTCCATTTCAGCCAGGTGCCTTCCACTCTCTGCCTCCCCAGGACCTGCCTGCCGTGGGACCTCCGCCAAGTCTTTGGTCTGAGGAGATAGGTGCAATACTTTCAAGCCCGCCCCTCTGGGGACTACGTTCCACATTGCCCTGATGCAGCTGAGGCCCTGTCTGCTCCCACTATACCCAGGTACCCCTTTGTTGGGAGGAAGGGCCGAGGGAGAACAAATCCTGGGAGCCTAGAAGAGATGGGGACATGAAATTGTGAAATAGACCAGAGGGGGTGCCTGGGTGGCTCAGGTGGTTAAGCGTCTGACTTCAGCTCAGGTCATGATCTCTGGGTTCGTGAGTTCGAGCCCCCATGTTGGGCTCTGTGCTGACAGCTTGGAGCCTGGAGCCTGCTTCAGATTCTGCCTCCCTCTCTCTCTGCTCCTTGCCTGCTTGTATTCTCTCTCTCTCAAAAATAAATAAATAAACATGAAAAAAATAAATAAATAGAACAGAGGCCCTATGGACTTCCTCTCACACAATAAGCATATTCCTGGAAGGTTGTGTGTATGTTGAACTGAGCTAATTGCATCTTGTGTTGAGTGTCTTGTGTGGGCCTGACCAGATTGTTTGACCCCCAAAATGGAGATGTGTGGTCTGACGAGTTCAAGAATGCTTTTGAATTCAATAGGTCCAAACACTTTCTAGTATATTCTAAGAATCCCACTATCTTAAAAAAGTGGTAAAATAAAATGACAAAATTGTAGTATATTTTGAGTGCTAATATTGAATATGTTACCACTTGTTACACATAAAAATATAATGCCATGTAATGTAGGAAATGGGACCGAAAATTCCCATCACAGGACCAATATTTTCTTTTTCTTCTTTTTTCTTTTCTTTTCTTTTTGAGAGAGAGAGAAAGAGAGGGAGAGAGAGAGTATGCATGAGTGGGGGAGAAGGGCAGAGGGAGAGAGAGAAAGAATCTTAAGCAGGCTCCACACTCAGTGTGGAGGCTGACTCGGGGCTTGATCCCACAACCCTGGGGTCATGCCCTGAGCTGGCATCATGAGTCAGACGTTCAACTGACTGAGCCACCCAGGTGTCCCAGGACCAATATTTTCTTTCAGTCTGTCTATCTCTCTGTGACTCATTTGGAATTAATGTCAAAACTCTACCTTGGAGACCCTCTAGGAAATATGAGGCCTAGACAATGTCCTTCCTGATATCCCAGAGGACATTATTGCCTTCACTTTACCAAAGAAACTGAGGTGTGGAGTGGTGAAATGACTTGGTCAAAGCCACACACTAGTGATGCTGAGATTCTGATCCAAGGCTGTTTAACTCTAAAGTTTGTGTTTTAACTCTAACACAATAATGATTTTCAAGCGGTAGTCACTAGGAAACAAAGAAAGAAAGAAAATTAATAGAACAGTATAGAAAATATTAGCATATGTCACACATGAAAATATTAAATATGGGTTCACAAAACTTGTGTTCCAGCTGTGTGTGTGTGTGTGTGTGTGTGTGTGTGTGTGTGTGTGTGTATTTTGTGCACTAACAATTCGAAATTCATTCCTTACTGGTGGTTGTAGTAAAAAAACAAAAACCTTGAGAAACATTATAGCACAATGTGTCTCCAGGAACAGGAGGCAGATGGCTTCCCCGGAAAGACCTCACGTAATGCCCACACCCTGAACCACAGCCAGGAGCCTCCCTATGCCAAGGGGCCTGGGCCCCCCTGAGTTCTTCTCAAAGCCTCCCCTGTCATTGTCCTTCCTCAGATGGTGTGGGCATCCTCCAATCGGCTGGGCTGTGCCCTCCACACCTGCAGCAGCATCAACGTCTGGGGCAACACCTGGCGTCAGGCAGTGTACCTGGTCTGCAACTACGCCATTAAGTAAGTGCAGCCCCCAGGCAGGGGGCCGTGGGGCACAGGGGTGGACCCTGAAGGTGGAATGGGCAGAATTCAAAGAAACCTCAATACCATACAACTTGGTAGTTTTAGAGTCAATTGATAATTCTTTTTCTTTACCCAAATTGCAAAAGTGATTGGGAGACAGAGGACCAAGTCAGGTGGATAGGCAGCCGCGCTGATGAAGTCAATAGCAGAGAAAGTGGTTGAGATGTGCCAGGCAAGCAAGCTTGCAAATAGCTCACTCTCAAATTGGACCTGCACACCGATTGACTGGGGACACCTGACAACCGCAGTCCTCTTCCAGTAAGTGCATTGCTGGCCCCTCCAAGCTCGTCACAGGAACAGAGCAACAGAGAACACACGCTCCCTGCAGCCAGGCAGATCCCAAGGGAAAGAGAAGAAGCACACTCAGTTCCTTCCTCCAGACTCTCCAATCAGCTTGGTGGGAGGGAGGTCACGAGGGGCCTTCGTATGTAAGCCTCTTGGAAACATGGAGAAAGAGGAATGGAAGTTACAGCCGACTTACACTATACAAATTTGCCAACATTGCAGACTCTCATATAAAAACAAGAACAGGGGCACCTGGGTGCTCAGTTGGTTAAGCATCTGACTTTGGCTCAGGTCCTGATCTCATGGCTTGTGAGTTTGAGCCCTGAGTCAGGCTCTGTGCTGACAGCTCGGAGCCTGAAGCCTGGTTCCGATTCTGTGTCTCCTTCCCTCTCTGCCCTCCCCGGCTCATGCTCTGTCTCTCTCTCTTTCAAAAAACTAAGTAAACATTAACTAAATAAATAAATAAATAAAAACAAGAACAAATTCTAAGTAAACATAATATTTAGAATTTCAAAATCACATGCTGATAATCACCTTTTACTCTCAAGTAGTCCTTAGCCATTTACAAAATATTTTCATCTCGTTATCTCATTGAAGAGATGAAAGAGAAAGAAGGAAGAAAAAATGAGAGTGATACTGGGAAACTTTTTTCCTTTTTTAAAAGAGTAAGAAATTGAGGATCAGGGAGGTTAAGTAACTTACAAAAGTCACAAAGCCAGGAGGTAGCAAAGCTGTTTGAAACACAAGTCTTGATTTCAAGTCCTATGTTCTTTTTTGTTTTTCAGTTTATTTTTGAGAGAGAGAGTTAGAGAACAAGCTGCAGAGAGAGAGGGAGACAGAATCCCAAGCAGGCTCCATGCTCTCCAAGCACAGAGCCCAAAGCAGGGCTCAAACTCACACAACATGATATCACGACCTGAGCCGAAATCAAGTCGGAAGCCCAACCAACTGGGCTACCCAGGTGCTCCTCAAGTCCTATGTTTTGTCTACTACATTATTCTGATATTCTGGAAGTCATTGGTAGCCTGAACACAAGTTCTCAAGCCCTTTACCTGTTAATGGTGACATCTATTAACAAAGTATCAGCCCAGCTTTATCAGACACAAAAACACAAAGCAAATTTCGTTACAAATGGCTTAAGGGGCTGTTCCAATTTGCTGATGCATCAAACTTTTGCAGCATTAACAGCATAATTGTTAAGATTTTTATTATCTGGAGTCAAGACTGTCAGGGTTCAAATTTGTGATTTAACTTCACTTCTCCATGCCTGTTTCTCCACTTGCAAAATGAGAATAAAATAGTACCTACTCGTTATTACTGAGAGAAGTAAATGATTTGACCCAGGTAACACCCCCGGGCTCATGATAATGTCAGAATATATGTTGATGCTTACTGCTGCGACCACATCTGGGTTTAATGTCCAGCTCTACCATGTGCATATGAGGACTTTGGATAAGGCATTTCATCTCTACAGGCCTCACTCTCCTCTTTTAAAAAAGGGCTAATCCTGGGGGCAATTGGGTAGCTCAGTTGATTGAGAGTCTGACTTCAGCTCAGGTCATGGTCTCACATCTCATGACTTTGAGCCCCGCATTGGGCTCTCCACTCTCGTCGCGGAGTCTGCTTTGAATCCTCTGTCTCCCTGTCTCTCTCTCTCTCTGCCCCTAAATAAAATAGGACTAATCCTACTTACCTCACAGAACATCACAGCACATAGTTGCCCACAGTACATGCTTAGTAAATGGTGGCCACAATTATAACTAGGTTATAAACTCTTCGAAATAGACCTAATTCATTTCTATATCCTTTTACTACAATGATTTCAACCCCCTTTTTTTTTTTTTAACATTTTTTTTTTCAACGTTTATTTATTTTTAAGACAGAGAGAGACAGCATGAACAGGGGAGGGGCAGAGAGAGAGGGAGACACAGAATCGGAAGCAGGCTCCAGGCTCTGAGCCATCAGCCCAGAGCCTGACGCGGGGCTCGAACTCACGGACCGCGAGATCGTGACCTGGCTGAAGTCGGACGCCCAACCGACTGCGCCACCCAGGCGCCCCCTCAACCCCCTTTTTTAAAAGCAGAACTTTTTCCCCAGTGGTTAAATTAAATAAAAAAAAAAAAGAATGACTTTTGTTCCATCACCCTCAGGTGTCCCCACCGCCCCCAAACTTCCAGAAGCACCTTTCGAAAACTATGGACTCACAGCATCCGGCACAAGTCTTGGTGCCCTATAGCTGCTCCTGAAGTGTTTGTTGAATGAATAAGTGAGTGAACTCCATATAAAACCAGAAATGCATACTTTTCTAAGCACTTTGGCTGACTTTATTTACAGTCGTTCAACAATCACTTTTGGAGATAAAAGGTATCCTTTCTGCCCACAATGAGTATTCATATGAAGTGCGAGAAAATAAGGCAAAGTTAACAGTGGCGAGATGATGAGGCAGTCATGAGCAAGAGCTAGGGAATGATTTTAGGCCTTGAGAAGAGGAGGGAGAAAAGAAAAATCTGTGGGCTGGGATGGGGAAGAGCGGGTATGTAAGTTAGATCTGTTGGAGCAGTCTGGAACACCTGCCCAAAAGCTGCACATGTGCTTCTGTGAGCTGGGGGTCAGCCAACTATGGCTCATGGCCAAAATCTTGCGTGCTGCTAGTTTTTGTAAATAAAGGTTTATTGAAACACAGCCACGCCATTTATTTACATATTATCCAGGGCTGGTTTCAATGCAGTAGAGATAGACGGCCCACAAACCCTAACATATTTACTATCTGGCCCTTTACATGAAAAAAAATTGCCAACCCTGGGGCATCTGGGTGGGTCAGTTGGTTAAGTGTTTGACTCTTGATTTCAGCTCAGGTCATGATCTCACAGTCATGGGATCAAGCCCCACATGGAGCTCTGCACTGACAATGCGGAGCCTGCTTGGGATTCTCTCTCCCTCTACCGCTTCCCGGCTCATGCATGCCCACATGCGCACATTCTCTCTCTTTCTCAAAATAAATAAATAAACATTAAAAAAAAAATTGTCGACCCCTGCACAGGCAATGGGAAGCCACTAAAAGTTTTTGAGCAGGAGAAAGTGATGAAAGTGGTTTGTTTGTTTTTAACAGCTTTATTGAGATACAATTCACATACCATACAACTCACCCATTTGAAGTGTACAATTCAATGGGCTTTGGTATATTGTTACATTATTAATTTTTAAAAAATATGTGTAACGTAAGATTTGCCATTTACCATTTATCATTTTTAAGCATACAGCTCAGTGGCATTAGTTACATTCACAATGCTGTGCAACCATAACCATTATCTGCTTCCCAAACTTTTTCATCATCCCAAAGAGAAATTCTGTAAACACCGAACAATCAACTCCCTATCCCACTTCCTCCAAAAGGCCATCATGGTCTCTTGAAAGGACTAACTCAGGAGCAGGTAGGATGGATTTGGGATCCGGCTGTTGAAGAAATGGACAGCAGTGGCCATGATGAGGCTTCAAGGGCATGTGCCCCCATGATTGAATTATACTCGTCATCTGATTATTCTAGCTTCTATTTGCACAGCACTTTTGAAGGTCATAAAGTGTTCACACATTTTTGCAGATACCATTTTATTTATTTATTTATTTATTTATTCATTCATTCATTCATTCATTTTGAGAGAGAAGGAGGGGCGGGGAGGGGCAGAGAGAGAGAGAGAGAGAGAGAGAGAGAGAAATCTCATGCAGGCACTGTAAGTGCAGAGCCTGACGCAGGGCTTGATCTCACCATGGGGAGATCCTGACCTGACCTGAAATCAAGAGTCGGACACTCAACCGACTGAGCCACCCGGGTGCCCCTCATTTCTTTATTTTATTCAGAAGAAACGAGGTGGTTTATTCTGTTACCAGCTGGGCAGAATCCCAGATCAGAACTCAGAGCTGCCTGAGTCAGGGATGGGAGGTGGGGTGGAGGAAATAAGAAACCCAACACTTACTGAAGAGTCGCTTATTCGCCAGGCATGGTGCTGGGTGCATGCACACAGGGCTCCCTTATTTGATCTTCGCTGCATCCCAGTGAGAGAGAGGAGTCTTCTCTTGGTTTTATAGATGAAGAGACCAAGGCTTACAGATGTGACTTGCCCAAGGTCGCATAGCCAGTCAGTGGTGGTGCTGGGATTTGGAAACCTGTGTGAACATTGCTCACATAACTCTCTGTCCCCATCTCCTTGGGACCTTTTCTCTTCCAGGGGCAACTGGATCGGCGAGGCACCATACAAGATGGGGCGGCCGTGTTCTGCCTGTCCCCCAAGTTACCAAGGCACCTGCAGTAGCAACATGTGTTTCTCTGGACTCAAATCCAATAAGCTTCTGTGGTTCTAAATTTCCCCCAGGCCCTGGCGGTGCCTCTGGCTTCCTCCAGAGGATCGCTTCCCAAAGACCAGGTCAAAGAATAATTGTTTTTTTAAAGGACATAATTGGGTTCACTCCTCTGATCTGAATTTTCCCTCCTGACTCCTTCCATTCCCAAAATGTCCAGCATGTGCCTGAAGAAAACAACCTTTTCTTTCTTCCTTCCCTTCTTCCTTCCTTTCTTTTTCTTTCTTTCTTTCTTTCTTTCTTTCTTTCTTTCTTTCTTACAGCTTTCTTCTCTCCAACTTCTGGGAAAGAGGCCCATATCTTTCATTGACTCAGTGCTCAGAGATCCAGGGCTAGATGGGGCTGCCTGGCTAACTCTCAGGTCCCAAACCCACAGGTCTTTGTCCATCCAGTGAAGAGTATTTCTGAAACGATCTTTAGCCTGAAACCCACTTTCATTCACTCAATAACAGCCAAACTTTGAGGACTTGTGGTTCACTCCCATTGCGTGTTACTGGAGCCACCTGTCAAGCTCCCCTTTTACAGATGGATACACTGAGGCTCAGAGGAGGGTGTGACCTACTGATGGCTTCACACTTTGTCTGCAAGGGCACCCAGCTGGGAGCTCAGGTCCTGACATGCCCTACAGGCTGTCTGACTCCTTTCTGAGTGCCCAGATGGAGTGCAAAACCAAGGCTCAGCCCATGCCGCCTGAGAGAATTGTCTTCTTCTGAACCTGTCTTTTTCTCTACCACTCCACATGTTGGTCTGTCTATCTCTCTCTCTCTCTCCCCCACATCCCATAGAGCCTCATTCTCATTCCCATAAACCATTTCCCCTCTCCCCGCCCCACTCCACCCAGATATCATAACACACAAAAGTCCTTTTGTTTCCAGAGATAGTAAAACCTCCCCCACAGACCTTGCCCTCCAGCTGGGGACCACTCCCTGCCTGACCAGAGAACACTCCATTCAAAGACCTGATGGAAAAACAGCCCCTTTCCCTAGACTCCTTACATCGCGCTGAATGGAGTGAGTTTTCTTCCCACTGGTCATTCCCACCTAGGCCACGACCTGTGCATGCCAACACCTCTCCACCCTCTGTCCCGGGCCCCCAGTAAAGTCCTTTGAGATCTGATGTGGTGGCTCTTTCTGGTTCCTCCTTCTCTTAGGTCTCAGAAGGGGTCAAAAAAGGAAGGAAGGGAATTGAGGAGGGGGAGATGGAGTGAGGGCAAAACCAGCTCCAGAGGAAGACCAGGAGAGGGGGCTAACGGCCCCTCAGCCCCTGTTTTGTGCCAGGCACGACAAATAGATCAGCGTGCAACTGCATGTGTATGTATTACTGTTCCATTTTACTGGTGGGAAAAGTGAGGCTTAGGATGAGTGCCCATTTCCAAATGCGGGAAACAGGTGAAGGGAAACAAATACACTGTTGTGAGTTTATTATTCGCAGATTATATCCTTCCTACTTTTTTTTTTTTTTTTGGGGATGGAGTATTTTCATTTGTAAAACAGTGGTGATGATAAATGTTAGTTTTTTAAAAAAAATATTGGGGCGCCTGGGTGGCTCAGTCAGTTAAGCACTCAACTCTTGGTTTCAGCTCAGGTCATGATCTCACAGTTCATGAGTTCAAGTCCCGCATCAGGCTTTGTGCTGACAGTGTGAAGCCTGCTTGGGATTCTCTCTCTCTCTCTCTCTCTCTCTGCCTCTCCCCCATTCATGCTGTGTCTGTCTCTCTCAAAGAAATAAATAAACTTAAAAAAATTATTAACGTCCTTATGTTGGGGGGAAAAGGCTTGCCACCCTATGCCAATTTCCCAAAATGTTCTGGAAATTTAAGTGGCATGAGATCCCCTGAATTAAAAGGTATGCACAAGGTTATATAGCTAGTAGGGAGCAGACATAGGATTTGAATTCAGCTTCATCTGCTCTCAAAGCCTGTGTTGTTTTGACATTGCCTTCCTGTGTCCCAAGTACCAGAAGAATGGCAAGGACAATCACTGGCATCTATGAACTGTTTAGTCCCCTCTCAATCTCATTGAATTATCACAGCTATCTTAAGTGATAAGTGCTGTTCCCATCTGCCCTTTACAGACATAAAAACTGAGGCTAAAGAAGCTGGATTTGAATATGTTCTATGTGACTCAAAACCCCAATGTCTTAACCCATTTGCTCTCTGCTTCTCAGCTAAGAAGGGAGAAACTCAGAGATTGGACAAAGGTAGGGACAATTAAGCAAAAAGTGACATTGTAGGGGCGGGAATTCCAGGTGACCTCCGGGGCTTCCCTCTCATGAAACTGCCCTTGAGCAGAGCCCACGCTGACCAAGAAATGAGCAGGTTGGGCTTGCTGATGCCAGCCAAGCCTTGGACCCTGCAGACCCAGGGTGAGGGCTCAGGCTGAGAGGAGTTGCCATAGCATCCTGGTTTGTTACTTTGCTGTTCCCACTGAAGGGCAACAGTGCTTCCCACTTTCTCCTGCAAGAAATCTGCAGGAACATTGAAGCCTCTGTAGGATTTTACTTTTTGAAGATTTTCATACCCCAACCTCATTTGGTTGCTCATTCACCAGCTGAGATTGTTAAGAGCATAGACTCTGGAGCCGGATTGCCGAGGCTCAAATTTAACTTCAGAGCTAAGTGTGCTTGGGTAGATTACTGTGAGCTCTCAGTGCCCGTCTCATCTGTAAATGGGGACACTAATAGTATCTGCCTCATGAGGTCCTTCAAAACATTAAATGAATGAATACATGGACAGCACCTAGAACAGTGTTTGGTATATAGTAAGTACTATAAAAGTGTCAGCTCTGAGCACAGTGGTCACTAATATACAGATCAAGGTGGACAAACTATGGCTCACAAGCCATATCCGGCTCACTGCCTGTTTTTATAAATAAAGTTTTATTAGAACACAACCAAGCTCATTTGTTTTTATATTGTCTATGGCTGATTTCATGCTCCCACAGCAGACAGGAGTAGTTGCAAGAGACCGCATATCTAAAACTCAAAATATTTACTCTGTGGCCCTTTATAGAAAATGTTTATTGACCCCTGAGATCTATAATGTTCCCAGGCTCCTAGAGCTTGTAATTCCAGTGTGACAGGGAGGCATTAAACAGAAGATGAATACAAATACTTTATTGTAATGGAAGTAAGTGCCATCTGGGAGAAGAACAGGGAATTACAGGCTCCCATAAGGACAAGGGGGCGGGAAGCTAGGGGAGAGAGCACAGGGCTTTGTCAGGTTCTAAAAGACGCCCGCTGGGTGAGAGGGAAAGGGAATGAACTGATCCTGGGAAGAGAGGCAGGGGCCAAGTCAGGCACAATCTTGGAGCTTCACTCAAGGACAAGGGGGAGGCACCACAAGATTCTAACAGTGGGAAGACATGTCAGATTTGCATTTGAAAAGATAATTCTGGCTGCATTCAAGGGGAATAGACTTGACAGGGTCAGAATGGATCCTGGGATCTGGGTGAAAGGCTATTTCAATCATCTAGGTGAGAAATGAGGATGACTCCTACCAAGATGATGGCACTGGAGACAGGGAGAAGTGGATGCCTTTGTGAGATGTTTAAGTGGAATGCAGGGGGATTTTGTAGTGGTTGGGTGCGGGTGTGAAGAAAGTGGAGTAGAGAAGGGTGCCATTTTATCAAGACGGGGAATTTAGGGGAAGGAGTTTCAATGGAAGTGAAGACCAGGAGTGCAATGATAGGGGCATATCATATTTGAGATTGTGAAACATACCAGTGGAGATATCTAGGAGATAGATGAGGCCAGTTGGATTTATGAATCTGGCCTCCAGAGGAGAAATTTAGGTTGAAGATACATAATTGGGAGTCATGAGTATACGGTTGGCCTTGAGGCCATGGTAATGGATATGATTATGGGAGGAGAGATAACAGAATGAAAAACAAGAAGTAAATCTAGAATTAAGCTCCAAGTAACTTTAGTATTTAAAGACAGGTCGAGAAGCATGAAATGTCAAGAGACAGTCAAGAAGGAAGGAATCCAGAAAACTATAGTAGTGTGGATGCTAACGGAAGAGGAGTCAACTGTCAAATGCAGCCAAATGTCCTTTGAATGCTTCAGTAAGAAATCATCTCTTCCACCAAGGAAGACTGTGTGTGTGTGTGTGTGTGTGTGTAGGGGGCAGTTGGAACAGAAACCAGACTGAAAGTGGGCTGTGCCACAGGAGATGGGGAAAAAAGAGAGCCCTGGTATAGGCAACTATTTTGAAAGTTCAGCAGTGAAGGGAGGAGAAAGGTGATACAGTGGCAGAGATGGGAAGGAAGTTATTAAGGGAAGATTATTTATTTATTTATTTATTAAAAAAATTTTTTTAACATTTTATTTTTTGAGAGACAGAGAGAGACAGAGCACGAGCAGGGGAGGGGCAGAAAGAGAGGGAGACACAGAATCCAAAGCAGGCTCCAGGCTCTGAGCTGTCAGCACAGAGCCCCACGTGGGGCCTGAACTCACAAATCGTGACATCATGACCTGAGCCAAAGTCAGACACTTAACCGACTGAGTCACCCAGGTGCCCTGGAAGGCTTTTTTTTTTTTTTAATAAAAGAGATATTATAGCATATTTCAATATTGATAGGATTCTGCTTCTAGAAATTTCCTAGAGATATACTCCCCACATGCGGCTCAAGACCTGTGCAGGAAGACATTCACTGTTTGTAGTGACAAAAGCCTGGAAACATCCTAAATGTCCAGCAAGAGGACACTAGTCAAATCAATTATAGGACACTCACACAACTGGATCAATACTCAAGTGAATGAGGTAGGTATGCCAGGACGGACACAGCCCTTAGATACCAAGCGGGGAAAGGAGCAAGTGGCATTAGAGTGTGTTTAACACGTTCCCGTGCATTTTATGCATTTACATTTGTGTCTATGCATTAGTCAGCTTGGGCTACCATAACAAAATACCATAGGTCAGGTGGCTTAAACAACAGAAAACTATTTTCTCATGGTTCTGGAGACAGGAAGTCCGAGATCCAGGAGCCAGAATACTTGGGTTC